GTTCAAAAAAAAAATAGTCGTAGTCGGTTGTTAAACGAGATGTGTGAGCACTCTCATTGTCTTGTCTCATTCACTGAAGATTTTCGATTGGTTGTATACTATTCTAAATTGACCGTTTTACGTTCCTGTGATGGTACGAGTATATTTGCCACATGATCAGTTTACCCATGATCAAAAAAACAAGCGACCATTTGTTTCGAAGTACTTTGAGCGCGAACTACTTTTGTTGGATTTAGTTCATTTTGAAACACCCATACAGCCATACAGACAGCTGTTTACGTTCCGGCTTATACGCATGTAACCGTGATTCGTCGTCTGTTTTAATCTTATACTTGTATACGTCTTTTGAAGCACTGCTATTGTACGAATACTTCTTGAGCATTTGTGTACTCAAGAAGTACTCGACACTGGTATCTTTTTGAAATTCTGTCAAATAATAAGGAATAAGATCTAACGAGAACAAATCTTTCTCACGGTTAAATACTAATGTATGCAGGTGGAACTAATACCTTTGGTTTCCTTAACTTCACAGTATGTCGCATGACTGTCTTGCATTATCAGTTTTTGCACATCATCAAAGTTTTCTGACACAACAACTGAACAACTGATTTTGGACGATCTTTACGAATTTCGTCCGAACTGCGTGAGCGAACTGCGGCCACGATTAAAATCATTGTGCAGCGTTTCACAGTGACAAAGGATGGAGCTTACTTTACATCGCCAAATGTGGAAGTATGTTGATCGATACACTCTTGTCTTGATAGCACAAATAACGTTAATTATTTCAGGTTATGTCCAATAATGTTAAACTTTCGTATTGAAATGTCAGATGACACCTGACAACAATCAGTGTTGCCAAGGCTCAAAATATGAATAGTGACCATCGTATATAAATGTCGCCGACGTTTCGAAGACTTCTTCTTCAGAGGGAAGTATGGAAGTATTTACATAACTCGACCAAATAAACTTCGAGGCGTCGATGACAATGGGAAATGAGAAATATGGGAAATGACTATATTACTTATTTGTTTTAAATAATTTTTTGTTATTATAATAAAATATGTTTTTGGTTTAATAAATTTAAAAATAAATTTGATATTGAAAACTAAAACCGTACAGCACTTGACTTTAAAATTTTCCTATGGGCAACCAACAGTGTTTGCTACATTTAGTGTTAATATAAGTCAACTGAATTTTAATTGCATTTTGCATTGTTATTAAAACTGTTAAAGTCATTTCTGTTCTAATCGTTGACAGACGCCTTCAGTTTCTGTATGTCACATAGAGTATAGAGTAGATTACTTCTTGAATGTTTATATAAAAAGTTAGTGTGTACTTTTTGTCGTCCACTGCGCTCTGATGATGTGCAATTCGTTGTTTACGATGGCACATCAACTATCTGAATTAAATTATTTTAGCTTTGAATGACAGCAAACGCCTTCAACATTTTATCATTTAAGCAGGCGGACAAAACCGTGCTTAGTAAATTATTTGCTATCATCACTTCTATGTTTTTGCTCTGGAAAAAGTTGTTTATTACGTTTTAATTTTTTTCCTTTTTGATTTAGATACATAAATATGAATATAAAAATTATTCGATAGAATAGAATTTATATACGGAGTACTGGCTCCCAGCGGGGCGGGCGGGGCGGAGCGATACGATTATGGTTCATCTTTTATGCTGCGAGTTATTTCATTAATACATTTATTTTTAAAGTACACTTTTAATTTGTATATTTTCTTTATATAAAATCAAAGTAATTAACATAAATTGTAACTATTTTTAGTTTTAGATGAAAGATAAAATAAAATTTTGTACCACTTTAGGAAACAAATTCCGAAAGGTCCTTTGCTAAAAAAGCATATAGTATACTGCTTTTAACTTAAATTTCCTAGAGTATAAACTTACTTATTTCAATGACCATAATGATCCATTATTGGGTTTCGGTCTGTCAAAGCACTCTTTTCCAGGAATGTATTATTATTATTGTTAGGAGATGTGGCACTGCGACTATCGGGTCTATTGTGCCCCCTTTTGGGCTTAGAATATGTCTTTAAGCCCTGTTATGTCAATAAAAAGTAGTATAGAACCTACTTTACAGAGTTTTATTGCCTCTTCTGTAAGAATATACATTCCTAGGAGCCTATTTCGTATGTGCATTAACACAGGGCACTCTAACAGCTCATGTGTGGTCGATTCGTCATTCTCTTCACAGAATCTACAGTTTGCATGCGTAAGTATACCCAGTTTTGTAAGGTGTTGTTTTAGTCTACAGTGCCCTGTTAGGATTCCTGTAATGATTCTAAGTTTTTCTTTTGATAAGTTCATACAATCCTGGTATCTCTTATTGGTATAGGTACCAATAAGTGATTTGGATTGTTTTAATCCTGGTATATTACCCGAGTAATCCTTTTTATTCTGGTTCTCCTTTATTTTTAAGAGAGAAAGAAGCATACTATTTCCTAGTCCACAAAAAGGTTTCGGCCCCATCATTGGTGTGTCTGCTGATTTCTTGGCTAGTTTGTCTGCGTATTCGTTTTCGCGTAAGCCAGTATGTCCCGGTACCAATAGGAATGTATATATTTTGTAAATAATAGGTGTGCTTTATAGATCGAAACAATTGTAGGTTTATAAAGAGTTAATATTCACAGAGGCCCTATGCTCCACTTAGGAGAGAAGCACAGCAGTAAGTAAGTAGTCATAGATTGTCAGATCTATAAAGTATTACAAGTTATAGCCAAAGTAGTCGCTAAGAACGACAAAACATGTATCAAAAACGAACATACGTGTAATTTTATGAACACAATAACAAAAACTAGTAAAAGTGCTATAGGTAACAGCACCAAAAATGCCGAATAAACCAGAATAATTTACCTTTTACAATTTTTGTGGAATACCTTTGCATAGCGATTTTCAATGTTAACAAACAAAATAAAACTAGCTAAAACGAATAAATTAAATAATAAATTGAAATAAATCCAAAACTTTTTGTACTAACAACATGCATTGGTGAACCTATTGGTCCACTAATTTTTTGACTCAAATTACAGCTCGCTCGAAAGTAATTGAAATGAACTTGTTTCAACCTTTCCAGATTTGTTGTGATTAACATTTCCAGTTGCTAGAATACTCGTGCAGCCTTGAAAAAATCTTGTTGACACCGAAAGAGTAAATCATACGCACCGCACATTGACTTTAACAAGTTGTTGGCATAATTTCTTTATTAAATATTATTTCTTAATAAATTCGCTTGTGATTAATTAAGTCCGCTATTATTATTATTAGCATAATTGAAAATTTGGAAACTGAAAAATTATGTAAATGAGTGACGAGTAGACACAAACTTGTACCGTCGGTGCCCAGTACTCAGATTATAGACATTTGAGAGTTAACTACTACAGCTACGTTGACGCAATCTGTATCTGAATATGTCGGCGTCAATTGAGTTTTGAATTCCAAAAGGTACACGTTTTCATGGCACTTTTTGTGGTTAACCAAAGTGCGCAACCAAAACGAAGTGGTTATAATTGGTTCTTCTTCTGTAATGACAATGCCAGCAACAACCGCAACGCTACCACCACGTCTTGGCTCACATTTTAAGGGTTTTCACCGTATATAACGACGTTTGTTCTATGCAGTATACATAGAACACTCTTAGACGATAAAAGTACAATGACTTCAATATTTTTATCGTTCTCATAATATTTTTTACAGTGCTTTTACAGTGTTGTTGGTGCTTGAAATGTAAAATAATATTTAAAGTAGCACATTTAAAAAAATACAAGAAAAAAATTGCTATTTTAGGTGGATTAGCGGCACTTATGTTTCTGTACTTATAGCTCGAAAAGATACAATTCTAGTATACAATATAATAAAATAAAAATATTTGTATGCATTTTATGTCATTAAAAAATAATGTTCGAGTCACAGTTGATAGCCTTGTACTTAAATTAAGTCGAATCGTTACAAAGTGCATAAACAAATTATTTATTTAATGAAGAATAAAAGCTTAAGCAGTTTGCTTAGCTTTATGGTTGATAAAAATTTATGACTTGAATATGCTCGAGGGTTAATCAGATGGGTACCACAGGCTGGATGTTAGAACATACATATATCGTTGTCAATACCTCCACATCGGGTCAATCGTGTACATCGAGCACGTAGATGAATTATATAAAGAATACATTTAAAGTATTTATTTTTTATGCTTTTAAAATACTTAATTTTTATTTTTGGGTCTAAAAATTGTTATCTCCCTTAATAGCCAAAACAATTACCAAAACAATCGACATGCGTTAAAATTTTTCTCAAATCCATAATAAAAGGGTTTTCAGAAATTCCTTAAACAGAAAACAAATAAACGAATAGGTTATGTTTACTACTATAAAATGGTAATGGTGTGAAAACAATTTCTTAAATTTATAAAATATTTAAGGCTTTTAATCGTTGAAGTTTGTAAAGAATTCAGTTTCTTTAGATAAAGGAATTATATATGTACATACAAAAGTATGTATAATCACATCAGGTCATAATTTATACTTGAAAGGCTGGCATTTCAACCAAACTTAACATATGGTATATAAATTTGGATTAAAGAGGTTTTTCGAACAGTAGTGAACTACAACAACAAAAATTTTATTTTTTATATTATTTTAATTAATTGAATTTTTGCTGACCATACCCATCAACAGTGGTCTTGGAAATAATACTTGTATTTAATTATCGGTAAATAATTATTTTTGAGACTGCAAGTACCAGGAATCGAACTCGGGTCCTGCCAAATGTGAAGCTCATATTTTGCTTAGTTATTTTGAATTGGTATCCTTCAGAACCTTAACTCTCTCCTAGAATGTATGTATATCTTGTGTGTATACAAGCACATACTTGTGTTGGAGATATATACAAACAACAGTAGCACTAACAGTAGCACTTTGTTTTAAATAAATGAATTTTTATAACCTTTAACTAAATTTCTGTTTCTATTTGGTTCTATTTTTAGATTGTCTAATGATTACTGGAATTAAAGTATACCAAAAATCGTTACTCACCACTAGTACACATGCATGAAAACGCCTACCAAAAACGAAATTCCCAACAACACAAACACCTAGATTACTCCAATAAATAAGTTCCATAATATATACAGAAACGTATATATATACAGAAACAAACCTGAATAAAAGGATGAATGTAATGCGTAAATTGCGTGGTGCCGGCGGCACACCGAGTGGCACCAGTGGCAGTGCCAGCAATACATCAAACGGTACTCCAACTCCGCCGCTAGCCAGTAATAATGATGCCAAATTCAATTTTCGCATGGAAACGCATTTGTATCATTTGAAAGAGCTTTTTAATGAATATACGCATCCAAAGGAACCGCTCAGTGAGCTGGAACGTGATTTGAAATTATATCAAATGCTTCCACTCTTTTGTAAAGTAAGTCAAATGAATTTTTTTTATTTACACAAAACAGAAAAATTTTTTTATTAATTTTTCGTTATTTACTTTCATTGCATTCCATTTCATTTCATTTCTATAGGTATTCAGTGCTTGTCCTTCGGCAGATATGAGTGAAAAGTTTTGGGATGTTGTGGCCTTCTGTCAACAAGTGTCACGTCTTATGGTCAATGAAATACGGAAACGTGCTTCAAATCAAAGCACCGAGGCTGCCTCAATTGCGATAGTAAAGTTTTTAGAGATTGAAATGACTGAGGAAACGAGCAGTGGTTGGATGCTGTTATCCACACTGAATTTGTTAGCTAACGGCGATGTATCCTTAATACAGGTTAGCATAAAAAAATAAAGTTGGTTTCGGTAGCGGTGGAAATTTTAAATTAGAAATGAAATTCCTTTGCAAATAGTTGCTTTATGTAAAGTAAAATAAATATTGAATTTATATATAAGTTATTCCTACATAAACTTAAGATTATTAACTAATTTCGACTGAACTTAAGTTTGTTAAGATTTTTATACGTCAGTAAATAAGAAACACTTTATTATACAATTTTATCAATATTATTATTCACAAATATTTTGGATTATCTTTTTAGTGTACATGACCAAAAAATTATAGACGAAAACCGAAAAAAATAGAGAAGTGACGAATATAATTATTAGCACAGCAAGCATGTTGATCCCGAACACTGTTTTTACCGCGTTTATACAGCAATTTTTAATTAACAAAAACTGTTATAGATATAATGCTTCATTTGTAACTAAGTGCATTTCATTTTAGTACATTATCTCTATTTATTATATAAAAATATAATATGTGCCGGTGTATTTTTATATTATGATGTCATCATGCTCTTACATCAATTGTAGTGCAGTGTTAGTTTTATAATTATTTATAATTAAAATAGCAAAAACAAAATAATAATAATAATAATAGGTCGTTTATGTCTCAATTTGACTAATGCTGAAGGGAAATAAAGTCCTCATTTCAAGACTAAAATCAAATGCAAAACGTAAAGACCATATAAAGACGGCTTCAAAGCATATCGAACATTTAAGTTTGAAGACTATTTAAAACAAAAGAAAACGAAAACGTTTAGATCATTTACAATAGCAATGTAATTTGTTTAAAAAAAAATATAATTAAACGTCAATGTTTAATGTTGGATTTACATGAGAAAAAAGAAAACATTATCTTCCTACGTACTCATCCATTTTGAACAATATGTGTGTGCTTTAAGCATTTGAGACATCAAATATTTTTAAAGAACTTCAAAATTAGCACAAAATTTGATGTTTCTTCTAGAGAATCGTAAAAGCACATACATATTGTGGAATATTGTGGAACCGCTGGGTCTACGTCCCGGAGCCACTCGTCAAAGACGACCAAGCGCCGTTCAACCACCCCAAAAGGGACTTCACAAGCAGGTCCCGGCGGGTTACAACAACAACAACAACAACATTGTGGAATATGGAAGAGTGCATATAAATATAAAGGGCATTGCTCCCCTAGTCTCTTATATTTGAATTCTTAAAACTAAAAAACCAAAAAATTAACATAATTTCATCGACAGCTTTTCATGTTTCATGGCAACATTTTACTGGAAAAGAATAGCTTACATGAAAAATAGCATTATGGTCTAGTTTCTAGTTTAAAACATCATAGTGTCTTTAATATAAACAATCTTAATCCATTTTGAATAAAATATGCACTAATTAAAAAAGAAACCACCAAAGTTTAGCGGAAAATAATTCTGTATTTGCACAATTAAGAAAAATCTCATGCCAAGATTGGGGCTATAATAGACAGAAGCCGCTATGCAATTCGGAGCATTGTACGGTGTTTCAAGGTTCCGACAAAATTGTAAAATGCAAAGTATTTTGCAGGCTGACCTGAATCTTTCAGCGACCATAAGCGCAGCAAAATAATAAGAAAGATAAAGGTCAACCCAAAAATATCTTTAATCCAGATCGCAGCTGAGGTTAAGCGAGAGTTTGGCAAGGATGTTTATCCCATAACGGTCAGAAGGATCCTGCATGAGCTTAATTACAGTTGTCGTGTTGCTAGACGAGAAACGTTATTTTTGAAGGTGAACCAAAAAAAATGAGTTCTTAAACAAGACAATCGACTTTTAAGTCGCCAAACGATTTGGAGAAATCCAACCACCGAATTAAATAAAAATAAATCAAAAAGTTGTCTGTGAAATATGGTGTCTGTATAACGATGCATGTCTGCTGAAGGTGTCGATAAATTAAAATTCAGTGACAGCATTTTGAACAAAAACAAAAAAAAACAATATAAACATCCTCATGAGAAACGTCAAAAAACGTTTCACAAACTTGAGTTCACCAGCCACATTTAGTTTTCAACTATGATCATGACAATGATCCGAAACATACGGCTTCTGATGTGCGTATCTGGCTCGCGCATCTTGTATTGAAATCTTGTAGATTTCAATACAATCGAAAGTTTGTGAGAAGCGGCATTGCTCAAATAGTGGGAAAATGTTGGACCAAAAGGTACACCAAAATTGGATGTCTCGATACCAAGGCCACTAGAAGCTGATATTAAACAAAAGGGCTTGGTCACTAAATATTAATTGTTTCCGTAATTTAGTAGTTTTTTGGTTTTTTTTTTAATTTAAAGAAATTAAGTATTCGTTTTAGTTGCAAAGTTATCATTCTTCATATCTACATATAATAATTTTTAGTAATTAAAAACCGCTGTATCAACGGGGCAAAAATAATGTTAAAGTTCAACAACATACTTGTAGTGCCAATAATAATGTTTGTCACAGTATATATCATATTTTATAAGACTTTGGATAAGATCTGTGATTTTGCAGCTAATAATTATTAGGTTCGGTTAGGTTATACTGGTTATCGAAAGAGATCCACATAGGCCGATTGGCCCATTGTATTACTGTATAAATGAAAATTTAGAGGTTTCAAAACCACCTTGAACCACTGGCAAAGTTTAAAATGGCATTTAATGGAAGGTTTTGTAGTTGATCGAGGTCCTTAAAAAAATATACTCCTAGAATAGTAAAGCGGTGCCGTGCATGCGCTTGGCAAAAGTAAAGCAGATGAGAGGCACTTTCATCGTCCTCTTCACAACTGCGACAGGAATAGTTAAAAGAAAGATTCAATCTTCTGGTTGACTAATTTGTTATGTTAGGTTTACTTGTGAGCAAACCTACCGTAAAAGTAATATATCTACGGAGCATCTTGATGAGAGTATTGGATATTTCTGGTAATTAGTACTTTTTCGTAATATGCAGTATAGCTAATTTTTGCATAATGCTATCTATTGCCTACATATTGAGAACTGCGTACCAACTGAATACAGTATCAATAATTTATTGATACTGCGTTTTAAAACTAGTTACTGCAATCCGTTTTAGGAAGAGTTGTCTTGCTATTTGGTCGTCTGAAAGGACGAGTAGATTCGAGATGTTAGCCGAACTTCCCTAGAATCTAAAATTTTTGATAATAGAATTCTCTTCTATCTGAATTAAATACAAAATACTAATTTACAAATTATGAAATACAAATGAATATTTTTATAGTGCTTTTATATGCAATTAATTGTTTTATTAGAAATATTGTCTTTTAGTGCCTCCATTTACCAGCGTATATGTATACTTATGAAAATTATTTATAATATATCATTGAACTTTAAAAAAAATTTTATTTTAAGGTTATGACAGATGCATCCGTTCCATCTACGCTGGTGAAGTGTTTATATTTATTTTTTGATTTGCCTGCTGTAGAGGATGATACACCTTATGCGACAGGTGCTAATATTAGCGACTTTAATGCATTTGAAAGACGAACGTTATTGCAGAAAGTATTTGTTCAACTGCTTGTTAAATTATGTTCATATCCATATCCAGCAGAGGAGTTGGCTCGAATGGATGATTTGACTTTGTTGTTTGCGGCGATAACCTCACCGTGTCCCACACATAACATTGTGTGGCGAAAAAATGCTGCTGAACTTTTAACTACAATTTCACGACATGGTCTCACTGATCCGGTTGTCAGCTATATACATTGTAAGTTGCTGCTTCTTGCTATACAAGCTTTTCACCAAAATTTCTAGTAAAATTGATTGCTATTAACTAACTTGCTTTTTGTCTTCTTTTTGTTTTTAAAATGTATTTTTAGCCAAGGGCTGCATGGCTTTATGTGTTGATAATATGCAACGTCTAACCTTTGGTAACCCTCTAGAAATTGTAGAAATGTTCGTTGCTGTGTTTTGCTTTATAAAGGACTCTAGTCAAGTATCACAAATATTAATGGATGATTTTAGAGCTTCTAATGGCTATGTGTTTTTGAATGATTTTTTGCTCAGGTAAATTTTTTTAAAGCTAACATAACAGCATATTAAACGAAACAAAACCCACTCAAAAATAAATATGTATATTTTAATTTTATAGGTTTGACACTTCACGTACTCATTCAATTGAAGTTCAAGCAGCCATCAGAAATCTCGTGCTCATGATTTCCTCACTTTGCATGTGTGGTTTCAATGAAATTCGTCCACCGCAGGCACAAATCAATACGCTTTTTAAAATGCAAAATTTTCAAATGCCACAATCTAACTCACGCGAAACTTGTGTACGCAATATATACGCATTTCAAGTTCTGCAAGCGGTCTTCCTGAAGTCGACATCACCAGCTCTTTGTTGCACCATACTTGACGCTATATCGCGTGTTTATCACTCGGATAATGCAAATTATTTTATACTCGACTCTGAGAATACGTTAAGTCAATTCACGGAACGTATACACCATAAAGGACCACAAATACAAGAAAAGTTTTTTGATCTCTTAGAGTTTATTGTGTTTCAATTGAACTTTGTTCCGTGCAAGGAGTTGATAAGTCTCTCTCTGCTGCTGAAAAATAATCAGTCCACAAGTTGCAGCATTTTGTGCTTGAAAACGTTGCTGAATATACTGCGGCACAATAGCGTCTTTAAGGACGTTTACCGTGAAGTTGGCATTTTAGAAGTGTTTGTTACTTGCCTGAATCGTTATGCGGAGCATGTACGTAAAATAACGAATAATGATGAGAATATTGTGTTGCCTAGTACGGATGTAGAGGATTTGGCGGATACAATGGGAAAGCATGTGCTTGAGGCTTTAACTATATTACTAAGTGGTAGCAATAATAATGCAAATGTATTTCGTGACTGTGGTGGTGCTAAGTGTGTACAGGATTTGGTTAAGTTTAAGCATTGCCGACCACAGGCGCTGGGTATCATCAGAGAACTTATTTTATCATCTGGTGGTGATGACGATATGCTATTCATATTATCTGTAATGCATGCCGTACCACCATATCAGGTTGAATTTAAAATTCAAATATTAAATATGTTGCTTGGCTGTCTAAAAGACTCTCACCGCACACGCACTGTATTTCGTAAAGTAGGTGGTTTTGTGTATTTAACAAGTGTGTTTGTATCACTAGATGGTAAATTATGTGATGAGCCTTTGGCTAATGTTGAGCCAGATATGCAAATGATATCACAAGATGATCTTATACTGCTTTTGCAAATTGTTTGTCAAACACTTGCTACTGCAATGCGTTTTGAGCCAGCAAATGCAAAATTCTTCCATCAAGAAATTTGTACCGCATCGTTATGTGATACTCTACGTTTATTGGGTTGTTTTGGGACCGCTGTAGAATTACCAGACTTTAAAGGTGATTTCAAAGGAGATAATCCAACTCAAAAGTATTATCATGAAGTATTTTCTGGTGACATACTCAATTATAGGTAATTCAAATAAAGCCAAAAACAAAGAAACTAAGTAATTAATTTTTTTTTTTCAGTTTTAGCAAAAATACTCCACGTTCTCTGTCATATGTTTGCGTAGTTTATCGCCTACTTTATAGTATATCTTTGGATAATTTCGAAACACCAAATTTAAATGGCATCATAACATTATTTAACGATCAGCATTCACGTTCGCCAAGTAAAGAACTTCCCACGGCACATCCAAATCAATTAATTTTAACACAGCCTACGCCTGAACCACGTATTGTTCATCCAGGCGTTGTACTCTGCATGTTGCAGCTGTTACCTAGTATAACGCAAGAAGACGAACCCATGCAAGCAATGAATTTACAAGTATACCTTAGCGAAATTATTAAATCTTTAGTACGAAACGAACGCAATCAACAAATTATGTGTGACTATGGGCTTGCAGAACATTTACTGAAGATAGCACGCAAGGCACTCTCAGAAGAATCCAATCCCCTACATGTGCCAATGCAATATATTTTAGAAAGACTGGCTGCACAAGCTTTGCAGCCCACAGAGTTGCGTGAATTTTTGCGTTTAGGTGAGCCGCTTTCTTGCGCCAACATAGATTTACACAAGCCGTATCTTATGGGTGGACCAGTACCATTAACACGTATTAAAACGCTTGTATCTATGACAACACCACGTGATTTTCGTGCACATGGATCGAGTACATTACCACCGTTTGTTGAAATGGATATGTCCGCAGAAGGTTTTGGTTGTTTGTATCTTCCGTCATTGGCTCCACAAGCTTCGGCCACTTCTGGCGGTACCATAGATGCAAACACTATTGGAGGTATTGGTTCTGGCGATCGCATATTTCCACCACAAACTGGTCTATCATTTTCAACTTGGTTTTGTGTTGAAAAATTTTCAGACCCTAAAACAGATCCACACTGTGTACGCTTGCTTACTTTAGTACGTACGATACATAATCCGCGCGAGGAGAATTTAGTTTGTTTATCTATATTGCTTTCAGCTAGAGATAAAGCAATTGTAGTATCCACACAGGAAACACTTGTTACTCCTAGCAAAAGTAAGTGTTTTATTTATTGCATTCCATTGAAAGAGTCACAATTTAAAATGTTTCAATTATAGAAAAGTAAAACTATTTTAAAAGAAGAGTAAAACATTTTATATAATTTTCTTATTACATTATGAATATTTATTGTATGGTTGTAATTTAGCTGTGGTTCAGCAGACTACTATTGAACTAGCAATTGATTGATCCTAGTTGACTTTGTGGTTCAATGTGGAATATATGTACAAAATTAAAGTAGAACGTAATTAATCAAAAATGTCTTGGAAAATCCGAACATGGTGTACTAATAATGAAGACCAAACAACAAATAAAAACAAGGAAGATTCAAATAATTTTTTGTTGAAACATTGCTAACCATCCTTTGATGATATAGACGCTCAAATTAAAAGTCTGAAAGATTGCCCCCAATTTAGTCTTATAAAACTGAAACTAGAATTCACTAAAAAAATTGAAAGTAAACAGGGAATAATTGCTGTATGTATATAAAAATTCCATGATTATCATTGTGTTTATTTTTAAACAAAAGTATTTAGAAAAATGGATTAGTTTTAAGTTGTGATACTTGTTGGGACAATGGAATAAATAAAACAAAAAACATTATAATAAAATTACAACTTTTACTTAACTAATTTTTGTGTTACTTCAAGGTTTGGGCGATTGGGAACCAGAAGGTACAGATGATGGCAGTGCACGTATTTGGTGTCCTGATTTATTACATGAAGGACAATGGCATAACCTTGTTGTGGTGTTGAATCGAGCTGTGTTGAAAAATTCTAGTCTTACATTGTATTTAGATGGCACTGTAAGTATTTGAATTGATTTTCAAAAATATTTTACAACAAAGATTATATAAGTTTCAATAATAATAAAATAGTATCTAGGTATATGTTTAGACCAGTAGAGTTAATAAATTTATTTTTGTTTGTAGCCTATGCACACACAAAAATTGCATTATATATCACAAAATCCAGGTGCTGGTTCTGTAAATTTAGCGGTAGCTAGCCAAGTTTTTGGTTATATTGGCACTCCACCCATCTGGCGTCGTTATTCTCGCTTATGCTGGAAACAAGGCGTTTGCCATTTGTTAGAAGATGTTTTAACGCAACAAACTGTGCAAATAATATACAATTTGGGTCCACATTATATGGGCTCATTGCAGGCGCCGCAAATTGGGAAACAAAGTGAGCCTTTGCCACCACTTGTGCCAGAAGATCGCGTACTTTTAGGTCTTAATGCAAAGGCTGTATCTCAATTGACATTAGTCAAAATACGCAAGGTATATAGCCGCGCAGACAACAAATCAATAGCCAAGCAGTTGGGCATGAATTCTCACGAAAACGCAACACCCATAAAGTATGTGTAACGATTATAAATAATATTGAAAAGTTTGAATATATTTTCTCCTTTATATTCGTAGAATACTGCATAACTCTGCTGGGCATTTAGCTGGTGCAGGACGTTCTCTTGGTGGCGTAGTTGTGGGTTACTTAGGTGTGCGTGTATTTAGTCCACATCCTGTGTCAGCTATGATTGACACAGTTGGTGGTTGTAATGTTCTGCTTGGTATTATTGCTATGGCACAAGATGTTGAGTCACTTTATGCTGGTGTCAAAGCACTTACATGCGTAGTAAGAAGCAATCGCGCAGCACAAAGTGAAATGGATCGAAAGCGTTGTTACCAAACGTTGGGCATGTTCTTTAAAAAGAAAAAGAATCTGTTGAACTCACATATACTTCATTTAACTTTTGGTCTAGTTGGTACAGTGAATAGTGGCCAAGAAATGTCTGCTATACCAAATATAACAGCATTCCAGGACTTACTGTGTGACTTGGAAATATGGCATAATGCTCCAAATGGTTTATTACGTTCTCTACTGGAACATCTGCTGGAACTAGCAGTTGAATCTAATGAAAAGAAGCAAAATATAAAAATTATGCGTGATCTACAATTACTGAACAAGTTATTACTCATTATAATTGATATACAAGACCATTCCACACGTGAGATACTACTTAATTTAGTTGAGACTTTACTCGGAGGTCAACCAAGACATACTGACTTATTGCTCTTTGGCCAATACTGTGCTGCAAAGTTACCAAAACCAGATCAAGCGGAAAGGTCTATATTATTACCTACAATGAAAGCATCCGTTAATATCGCGGGCAATTTGAGCGCAAGTGAATCTGATGCTATAGCGCAAAATATTTATCTTCGTAATCGCTGTCTATCATTACTACATGGTTTGCTTTTTACACCTCGAAATACTGTCAATTATATAATATGCGACGATATTTCAAAAACGCTTGGCATGGACTGGCTATTGCTTTTCATGCAACCACATGTGCATTTTACAACTGTCATCATATCTGTCCGCATATTGGTGGTAATATGCGCAAATGAAAGTTTTTTAGTGCGATTTCGTGATGCAACATACAATGGTGGATATTTACGGTTTACCGAAATGGTTTCACAGAAAAAGATACTGGGCATAGGAGCTCAGCAATTAAACGCGGGTTCTCAGAATAATCCAGGATCGGTTTTAGTTAGTACTGCTAACGTACTACAACATCTTCCTACACAAATAGCTGGTGAGGTGAGAACGTCTGCTTTAAATATACCAGGTAAGCAGTGAAAGAAAAGTTGAATTGATTCTTGTATTAAAATTCATTTTTCGGGATTGTTTTATTGCCGTTAAATAAATAGTAAATAGTATTTACTAAGTACTTGTGCATTATTGCTTAACCCTTTTAATATTTTATGTTGCAGGTTTCCAAATGCTTGATTGGTTATTGCAGCATCATTTAGATGTACCAGAGCTATACTTTCTTATAACAGCATTGATTATGGGTCAACCAGTTAAGCTTTTAGCTACGGAACATACAAAGTTCGATTTGGATCGTGTCTGGTCGTTTCTTTGGGGTGCGCCAGTTTCTGCCAATAATGTTACACCGAAAATGAATGTTTGTCCAGAAGCAGTTTGCGTATTACTCGGCATGGTGCGAGCTATTGTACACGCAAACGAATATGCTGAATGGCTTAATAGTCATCCAGAGACAATAATTCAGCTATTGTTCAGCTTATATCAAAATCTTACTGATTTCATGCCAGTTATGATGTCTGGCGATGTTGTAACTTCCTTAGTGGCAGTATTGTTTCCAAATGCCAAAGAACCAACTGTTGAATCTGGACCTAATAGTGGAAATTCAACACCTACTGATAGCTCAGGATGTTTTGTTTTAAATCCAAATAGTTCAACCTTGGTGCAACCACACAAACTTACTCAACATCCAGTACGTAAATGTATCATAGATTTTTTGCGTGTAATAGTGGTTGACTCATTGAGTTTAAATATGCACAGTAAATCCACACCTGTTGTAGATTTAGTGTTAGATGCTTCACCTGAAGCAAGCGATATGCTATTGCAAGTGGAATATCAAACTGAAATCATATCAGCACTTATGGATCATCTGTTAGCTGCAGATGTTTTAGTAGGTGAACAAGCTGCTCTGCCTCTAGTGCCCTTGTTACAAAGTCATACGCAACATATCGCACCAAATGTTTTCTATTTTACTGCACGAGTTGTTGATAAAATGTGGCAAGGTTGTTTAACGCGTAATCCACATGATATTTTTGATTTTATAATAAAATTAATTGCTCAAGCCAAAAGAAGGTCGTCAACGTTGACAATTGAACAATTGCATCACTCACTTAACCGTACAATATTGTTTTTGTTGTCAAGACCTACTGAGGCAATAACCGAACAAATGAGCGTCTTGGAGGCGTTACATAAAATAATCACACATCGTCTGCTCATTTTTGGTGCTGGTAACCACGAATTAGAATTTATTGGCTGTCTAACATATTGCTTACTACAGCTTACCGCTGATATGAAAATTATTTTAGAACCTTCAACTTCACGGAATACCACTTGGCATGTAAACCCACAAACCGAAGTAATGGAACCAAAAGATGAAGATCTGAATCAATTACAGGTAAAAATGAATTTATTCCTTATAATTTGTTATATATTATAAATTACAAAATTTTTGAAAAGGGTCGTAATTTAATTGTTGGAGCTGCTTTTCGAGTCTGGGAAGAGCTGTATGTTTGTAAGAAACCAGCAATTGAAGAAGTATTTAAAATTTCGTTAACTCCACCGCCGGTTAACTCAAAGGCACCGGATCTACAAACTACAAGAGAGCAAGTTATGGAATTGGCTTCCAAATTGTGGTTCAATTACGTCGATGCAGAACGGAAAGCTTCATATCGCATACCATGGGAAATACATAACCAAATTCAGTCGAAAATACAGAAAGTAACAGGTGGGCTAACGCGTCTTGCCAGTCGTACTAAAGTCAAAAAAGATGAACTAGTACGTACCAAATCAACGATGAGTAAAGAAAGCGCTTTCGATTGCACAGCTATACATGTGCAATTGATAAAGTAAGTTTAAGCAATTTAAGGCCGTTGTCACAGTCGTGACTTAAGTCTTATTACTAAGTCATATTCTTTGAGTCAGTTTTGAGACTTAAATTACGACTGTAAAATTAGTTCTTAAAAACGTTTTTTTACATATTTCTTTATACATTAGGGATCTTTGGGAGTTACGTTGCAAACAGTACATGCAAATGCTACAACATACGCAACGCTATGTTTTTCAAGACTGGGTACAATCGGAAACCGAATTAACGCGAGAACGTGGTCTTTGGGGACCAGAGGGTAGCTCGTCATTGGACAAGTGGATTTTAGATACTACAGAAGGTCCTCATCGCATGCGTAAGAAGACTATGAGAAATGAATTATTTTATCTACATTATCCATATCGACCAGAAATTGAATTGCCTGATAATGTAAGTTCTTACTATTGTTTAGAAACTGTTCAGTTATAAAGTGTATGAAAACGTTATTAAAATTATTGAATGTGCGTTCCTATATTATACTAGTAAATTAATTTTTAATTGATAAAACTTTTCATTTAATTAAAAATTTTTTTTATTGAAAATTGATATTTCGTATTCTCACATTTGAGTCCATTTTATTATCAAGTTTAAAAAAAATCAAATAACAAAAATACTGTTTTTTACACTTCAAATTCGAGAATTAAGTAACTCAAGAAGTTCAAGTATATTCGGTTTTCAATTTTTGAATTGAATTCTTTAAATGTCGTTGGATGAATATTAATACATTTTTTTTTGGAAATGCTCGAGTTATTCCAGACATAAAAGGTAAACTAACAACAAATATGCTTCATATTTGATTTTTTTTTTATATACAAATACATACCACAGCAAATGATTAAACTCCATATTATGTTGTTGTTCTTGTTGTAACTCGCATAGATCTGCTTGTGTGGTTCCTTCTGGGAGTGGCTTCGAGACATAGTCGTTTCCGCCCGCACTTAGAACTACTATATCGTGTTCGTACATATTTGAGCGGTTCGCTGTGCTATACTCATACTCAAATAAAAAATATTTCGAACACTACTACCAGATATTTATAGCATGGCAAAGGATACATAAAGTGCTATATAAGACGTATGTGTTCTATATCAGGCAGGTTGGCAAGACGAATCGATTAAGCAACATTTATTTGTCTGTCTATCCGTCCGTTAATATTTTAGTTAGTCTCTCAGTTTTCAAGAGACAGAGATTGAGAGTTTGTTTTCGCAGGAACTATTGGTGAATTATAGTTAATATAAAGAATAGTATATAAAATGTACACAGTAACAGGAAAGAAGTACGGTATTTTTAAATGAATCAGTACAAACATGAAATATTTACTTTTTTTGTGTTAGTTTTTATACTAATAATAAATGTAATATAAAAATCAAAAAAAAAATCATGTTTTATTTTGTTTTTTATGCTTTAGCGTCAATTAAAATTCAAAGTTGCCACCAGTTTCGATAGTAAAATCTATTATACACATTGTCAACAACCGCCACGCATACTCTGCGAGACTGATACAATGCAACTTCAACAACAACAATCACTCCAGCAGCAAAACTCCGTAGATGCCAACCAAAAGCAACAACAAAATGCTCAGAATGTTTCTGCAGTGCAATTGCAAACGACCAAAAATGAACTGAACACTGGTAGTACAGAAACGCCACCACAATCGCCGCATGATCGGCAGCGTTTACAGCAAACGCAAGAATCAGTCGATGGTGCTGGAGCGCAAGAAGAAGATGAAGAAGACGAAGATACATCTATGATGTCTGATAATGAAACATTTTTACGTCTGTTGGAGGAACAAGAAAAGATATCATTTATGTTTCGTTGTGCGCGCATACAAGGTCTTGATACTTTTGAAGGGTTGCTGCTTTTTGGCAAGGAGCATTGCTATATAGTTGATGGTTTCACTTTGTTAAAAAATCGTGAAATACGAGATATTGATACGCTACCACCGGGTGCATATGATCCTATAATACCAAATTCAGGAGGCACTACGCGTACTCATAAAATACGTCAATGTTCAAAATTCGCTTATGAGGAAATACGAGAAGTGCATAAGCGACGTTATTTGTTGCAACCTATTGCGTTAGAAGTTTTCTCTGAAGATGGTCGCAATTATCTGTTGAGTTTTCCTAGGAAAGTACGGAATAAGGTTGGTATTTATTTATATTGACATGTATTTATTTAAATTTATAATTATATTAATATGAGTATATTTTTTCTTTTAGGTTTATCAACGTTTTATGTCGCAAGCCACCGCTATCAACGATAATGCACAACAATCAGTTGCTGGTCAAAAGCGTACTGCTAGCGTTGAACAAACATCTGGTATTTTTAGTAGTCTTATTGGTGAAACCTCAGTTACACAACGTTGGGTGGTACGTGTTGCATTCCACAATATATATATTTTTTTTTTTTTGAATATGTATTAAAATGGATGTTATTTATATTTACACAGCGTGGTGAAATTTCAAACTTCCAATATCTAATGCATTTAAATACGCTTGCTGGTCGTTCATATAATGATCTTATGCAATACCCAGTATTTCCGTGGATAGTGGCTGATTATGAATCTGAAGAATTGGACTTCAATAATCCAAAAACATTCCGTGATTTTTCAAAGCCAATGGGTGCACAATCAGAGGAACGCTTAGAACAATTTCAGAAGCGCTATAAGGTGATTTTCTTTTATATAAGCATTTATATAATATATTTTTATAAATATTTATTTTTTATTTATTTAGGAATGGGATGATCCACATGGTGAAACACCTCCGTATCATTATGGTACTCATTACAGTTCCGCAATGATTGTTTGCTCATATCTTGTGCGTTTGGAACCATTCACACAACATTTTCTACGCTTACAGGGAGGGCATTTTGATTTAGCTGATAGAATGTTTCACAGTATTAAAGAGGCTTGGCTGTCTGCATCTAAATTTAATATGGCCGATGTGAAGGAACTAATTCCTGAATTTTACTACCTTCCGGAATTCATAATGAATTCCAATAACTTTGATTTGGGTACTTATTAATACAATTATATTAATAAATTCATGTTGACTAACTAAAGTATTTATACATCCTTAAAATGTGTGCGAACATTTTTAATCGAATTATAGTTAATTTTATGTGTTGTAGTGTATAATACTTTTTTTACACTGTTTTGCCATTTAAATTAATGTTTTTTTTTTTATAAAAATTTTGTCATATCACTATTATTTAACATTATATCACTATTATTTATATAACAGTATGAAATATTTTAGTATTAATATGACTATATCTTTCCAAAATTATATATTAAATAAATCTTACACATGTACTTAATATATATTAAATATATATTTATGAATTACATAAACAATTATAAATTTTGTATAGGTACAAAGCAAAATGGTGAAACACTGAGTGATGTTATATTACCGCCATGGGCTAAACAGGATCCTAGAGAATTTATAAGAGTACATAGGAGTGCCTTAGAGTGTGATTACGTTAGTCAAAATTTACACTTGGTAAGTTCTTGCTTCTGTATGTAAAAGTATACAACCGGTAATAATGACTTTTTGTGATAATTTTAGTGGATTGATTTAATATTTGGGTGCAAGCAACAAGGTCCTGCTGCTGTTGAGGCTGTTAATGTATTTCACCATCTATTTTATGAAGGCAATGTGGATATTTACAAGTAAGTTTTAAAATTTTGCATAACATAGGTCTTAATATAACTTTGATTTTTTTTAATTACTCTTTTTATAATAACATATGGTTATTATGTGTCACATTATGTTTCATATTTTATTAAAAGTGAAATGAAAAAGAAGCTAATGAAAAAAATAATTTATAATAATAATTTTTTATATCTAAATTATAAAGTCTATGACGATAAATAAATTAATGAAAAGTTTAATAACTATATTGCTTTTAAATATGTTTGTTTACTATAAGATTTTCTCGTATAAGAAAGGAATCATTATTAAATTAATATTATAATTACTTGTATATTTATAATTAAGTTAAATGTTTTATTATATTTCTACAATATTGAATTATTTATAGTATCGATGATCCACTTAAGAAAAATGCAACAATAGGCTTTATTAATAATTTTGGACAAATACCAAAGCAATTATTCAAGAAACCACATCCCGCTAAGAAAATGGCTAACTCCAGGCATTCTACATTAATAGATGCTGGTGCGTTAATACAAGGAAATACAACTGTACTACAGTCAGATCGTATGTTCTTTCATAATTTGGATAATTTGAAACCAAGTTTGCAACCAATAAAAGAACTGAAAGGACCTGTGGGACAAATATTGCAACCAGATAAGACTGTATTTGCTGTTGAACAAAATAAGGTACAATTTTTGTTTTTATATTTACAAAAATCAATAAATAAAATATTTTTTAAAATTTTTTTGAAGCGTGAAAGTATTTTTTTAATACATGCAGATTTGTAAAAAATTTTTTTAAATCGTAGGATACAGTGTTATAATCGCGCTTTAAAGTTTTCTAATTTTATTAAAATATTTTTAAACGGGCTAAATAGTTATTGTTAAGTAATACGCAATTTTTTTTAATTTATTTTAAAATATATATTTATCTGCATTGATATTTCGACTAAAATCTATAGACATCTTCAGCGTAGTTTTATTATTTTAAAATTTTTTAAAATATTTAAAGATTATATTAAGTTAATATTTGAAATAGTGTGATGTATTGATATAAATTAAAAGCATACGTAGGAGTATAGTTTTATTGAAATAAAATGGTTTAGGATATCGTATACTGGACAAATAAAAAGTATTGCTCATTTTGAATACGACAGCCACTCTTTGCAATGTAGCCAATATTAGTGCCGTCCTGAATAAACGAGGGTTAATTGACATTCCATGATAAAGTTTTTTTCAAACTATTAACTGTGATTCTACGTTCCACTTTGGAGAACAGAATCACATTAATACATATACATTGCCCCCCATAGCGAAGCAATATTTGTTATGAGAACACATTTATTTGTATCAAACTTTTCATTAAGCCACTGCCTGAAACTTCTAGGGATGAAACGTCTAGGTGACTTTCTTGTGCAGTAATAGCTGAACTAATCCAATGAAGATCATGTTATAGGCACGTGGTAAACAGTTACTTGCATGCATAAACATGTCAATTATCAATATTTGTGCCAACTAGACCTTGATATAATAGCAATTAGCATCCATACAATGTTTCTTTTCTCCTCCTTACTTATCGTACATGTTACATGCTACATCTGAGTATTTACTTGTGACCCTTTCATGATTGTTAGTTCTCAGCGGGTTACAACAACAAAAGGAATCGTTACAAAATTTGATGTATGACTTCAACTCCGCGTGTACAGTGTAGCCAATTGCCGAAAACCTGACTAAAAGTAAAAAAAAAAAAGATTTGAATTCAGGATATCTTTATGTTGTGTTGGGTTGAGGACATGTTGCGAAAACGCCTTCTGAATGAAAGTAAAAAACAAAACAGCTCCAGTAATTGGTACTATATATTGATGATTAAAATAGTTAAAGATCTATATAAAATTATGAAAAAGTTCTGTTGTTCCACTTAAAACCCTATTTTAGGTTGTAGGCTGAAGTACTTTCTTTCAAATTAAAACAAAATTGATTGCTCATTTATGCAAAATACAACCTAGCAAATGCAACGTATCTAAGTAAAGTGGTTTTTTTTAAATCAGACTGTTATATCTCTGTGAAAATGAATTAGCTCTATTTCTTTAAAATTTTAATATATTTGAATTTTTATATGATTTAAAAACTGAAGTTGGTAAGGGACTGATAGTTTCAAAAAAGAATTAGGATGGTAATACTGCTCGATGCTTTTTTGAAAATGGAAATATTTCTGCTTCTATAACTGGACTCGATGAAGGTCTAATTCACCAATTTTGTACTGCATTACAAGCTATATCATCTGGTTATAATATAAATACTGAAATATTTCATCAATATATTTTAGAAACAGCATGAAAATTTGTAAAAATATAGATCTAGTATTATAAGTCTACTACAGTACATAAACTGTTAATTTATGGACCACCAATAATATTTCATATACTATTGCCGATAGGTCAGTTGTCTGAAGACGCTTAAAAATCATGCCATAAGTACTTTAAACGATTTCGCAAAGATTTCAAGGATCAAAATAATGCATGATATATTTTTTAGTTTCTTAATTACCTCTGATCTATATATATCTAGTTGCCGACAATTATCTGCTTAGCTATTGAAACCGAGGCAGAGTGAATGAGCATGAACACTTCTACAAAGTGGCACATAGTAAGATTAATATACAAACTACAGTTTGAGTTGAAGCTGTCTGTTAATCAAGATATTATCAAAAACATGTTTTTGGTGTTGTCTTCAAATTTTAAGCATTAATTAAAAACATGTAATTTATGTTGAATATTAATAAAATAAAAATTAATATTTTTGAAATATTCAGTTTATTTAAATTATAGTTTTTAAAAATTTTTTTGATGAATATGACTATAAGTAACTATACAATAAATCGTATGTTGACGACATTAGGTCATAGCTTTAAGTAAATAATTAAAAAAGTATGAATAATTATTGTATTTTTAAATTATTAATAAAGAATACTACTACTACTACTACTACTACAATAAATCGTATTTAATTTATTTTAATTTTGTTCTATATTTAAATTTACTGATTTTAATGTCTTACAGGTTATAATGCCACCTTCATATGCGAAGTACATCGCTTGGGGTTTTGCTGATCATTCACTTCGCATTGGCCTTTATGATACTGATCGTGCTTCGTTTGTATCCGAAGCTGCGGCTCAAAATTCTGGAGAAATTTTAACATGTGCTTGTCCTAATGCCAAAATGATAATAACAGCTGGCACAAGTTCTGTCGTCACAATATGGAAATTTGATGCAAATCGTAAAAGTTTAACAGTGCGACACTCTTTGCATGGGCATACGGATGCAGTGACATGCCTGGCAGCAAGTTCGGCATTTAATGTTGTGGTTTCAGGTTCACGTGATGGCACTGCAATTGTGTGGGATATGGCACGCTTCACATTTGTGCGCCAGTTACGTAGTCATGTGGGTGTAGTTGCTGCTGTTGCCATCAACGAATTAACTGGTGATATTGCGACATGCTCTGCAACTTGGTTACATGTTTGGTCGATAAATGGCGATCCTCTGGCGATGGTAAATACTTGCGTAGGAAGTGCAGATCGTATGCAACAAATTTTATGTGTTGCATTCTCACAAATTCGAGAGTGGGATCAACAGAATGTGGTTATTACTGGCTCAACTGATGGTGTTGTTAGAGTACGTATATACTTAATGCTTAAGATTTGATTTTTATGAAATATATATACACGTTTGTTCTCTTCTTATTTTTATGTTTCTAAATACATATTTTTATTATGATACATATATCTATATCTGTTATTATTGGTTTAAATTTTATTATTAGTATAAAATTTCATGAATAGTATTTTTATATATAAATATACCTATATACCATATAATAAATTAATTAATTAATAAAGTGTTTTTACATCTGAGCAAATAAGCAAATTAAATTAAAGGTACTTTATTTATTACTTTATTAATCTATTTTATTAGACTTTTGTCTAATAAGTAAAATTTTCGATAAAGAATAAAAATTATAAACTGAATAAATTATGTTTTATACCATAATTCGAATGGGTTATCTTCCTTGTTATGCTCAAAATCGATTATTTGAGATATTTTCATTGTTATCTTGTCATATATATATATAATTTCTAAACTCGCTTTTTTAATTAAATTCCACTAGAATAAATTTAAAACTGTATATCCCAAGACAAGATATCTATCTTCGAATAGAAAATATAGAAATTATTAAAAAATTTTTTTTTTTTATGATCATATTCTTTTGGATACCGCAAAATATACTTTATTATTAAGAACTAATCCCTGTTCCATTTGAACTGTGGACTTAGGTATTAATATGCAAAGTCAAATAACAGTTTATTTACGTTATTTAAATTTGAAGTATTATCAATTTTTGTAGTTTGTTTGTAAATAACATCAGGACTTGATATTTTGAGAACTAACGCATAAACCACAGATATATAACTTTTATTAACTAGTATAAATTGTTGTTCTTCAAAATCAAACATTTCTATTTCTAAAATTTCTGAATATAAAAATTACCTCACTTTGCTATTGTTTGGAGAGTTAAAATAATTCAAACATATCTACCCTTTTCTATTTAATTAAAACCTAATATTAAGAATAATATGGTTTTGTCATTTTATAATGTAATAGATAGATTTCATGAAGTTGTTATACTCAAAAAATTTTGTTCTGTTTGAAATGATGAATTATTTTATAATAAATTATATATACTATTTTTATTTTGTTTTTTCTCAATAGATGTGGTCTCTGGAGTATGTACAAGTACCAATAGAACGAAAGCTCAAAAGAAGTGCTGAAATTTCTTCGCAAGAAAAACCAGAAGTTAGTACGGAAAAAGAAAATAAAGCAAAGGAAGTGCATGAAGAAAAAACTGATGCAAGTAAAACTATTGAAATATTAAAACAAATGAAGAATCTTTCATCCCAAGAGGAAAATGGTGATTATGAAACATAGATTTAAAAGCTAATACTTATTTATCATATCTAATAGAAATTGTTAAATCAGCATCAGAGAGCAGTATTTCGGAGGCATCTAACGTGTCAACAGAATCTGATAAAAAAGAAACGAATAAAAGCGATCAAAATGATCATTCAATGGAAAGACGAAAAAGTTCGTTGTCTGGCGCCAAATCATTACATGAAATGAAAACTTCCACTGTTGACGATAACACTAATAACAAACACGTTGAAGGTAATATTTTGTAATTTATTACAACTAAATTATTATATTTTTCCTTGAAAAAACGAACACTTTCAAACTTACTTATACTTATATATTAATTAGATTTTAATGTGAAGTTTATAAGTAAGTTTTGAATTGCTAAAGTTCAATAGTTTTCTGCTCATTTATTTAAATAAACTACTTATTGTCCTAATATTTTTCTATATTAATAGATGAGGAGCGTAGTATACGACCGAGTAAATCGGATACGAGTCTTACAGATGGTTTTGTTATGATCGAAAATGACAAGCACAAAGGTGATCATGTGCTACGAAAAGGTTTGTATTGTACACACTCAATATAACTAATAATTTTTATTCAATAATATTCAATACTTTAGGATTTAAATGGCAACGCCAATTAATGTTTCGCTCTAAACTAACAATGCATACTGCTTACGATCGTAAGGATAATGCAGAACCGGCAAGTATTACTGCTCTGACTGTTTCCAGGGATCATAAAATTTTATATGTTGGTGGGTAAAAGTAATATTTATTTTTTTTTATATTACAAAAATTAGGAAAATCAGGAAATATATAATTATTTATCTTAAGTTTAATAGTTTAATTATCACTTTTCAAGTTATTGTTATTTGAATTTGTCTTTATAATTTGTCTTGTTGTACAAAATGCCATGCTAACTTTAGGCTTTACGGAAACTATTCATGTTCATATCAAATCACAAATAATTTTTAATAATATATATTCTACTTCAAAAATGAATTAAGTGTTGATTAAAGTATATCAGTAGTTAATTTGTAATGAACCTTTTCACGGCCATTGATAGTTAGGATAGCTCACGGTCTTCTCGGGGTGCTACAAGAATATTTCTTGTAACCCTGAATCTTTTCTTTGTATAATAATTTTAAACCATTGATTAATTTATAGTCTAATTTTTATTTATTATATATTTTTTTGTTACAATATTTTTATAACCTATTACCAAAATAATAAATTTTCAAGTTAAGGGATATCCAACGTTACCGATTGGGCTACGTTGATAGGAATCAGCGTTACCGATTGGGCTACGCTGGTAGGTTGACGATCAACGTTACCGACTGGGCTACGTTGGTAGTTCTAAAAATTTACTAATTACCTTGTTTCAATAATCTTCGTGAGTTTTTCAAAGTGTCTCTGTTGTCAGTGCTGCTACTCAGTATTCTGTTGAAGCGCCGTGCTGCGACGTGCACTGTTCTATGTGCTGCGATCAAGTCTCCTCTGTTTTTTATTTTTTGTTTTTAGTTTTTGCAGTAATTGGAAAGCATCGAAAGCCACAGTGTGAGACTTGAACCCACTAAAACCAGCTCTTAGGAATCAATGGAGAAGATTCCCACAGCTATGTGGAAACTTCATTCTAGTAATCAGGGGAGAGAGAAAGTAGATAGACTTAATACCTAGTGAACTATGTTCATCTAAGCCAAAGAGCAATGGCATGAATTAAGTGGAAGTGGTAATAATGAACGGGGTGGGATTACGGCCAAAGAGCGGGGTGGGGTCAGTGATAAACTTTATGAACGGAGTCACGAAAGCCGCGGTTGTAAAGGGGAATAGAGAGAGGATTATGGTCTAACTCGTCGAAATAATGGGATAGGTACTGAGGAGATTTAAAGCGTCAAGCTAAAACAAGGTCTACTGGGAGAGTATCTGGACTAGAGACGTCAGGACGGAGGTCATGGAGCCGGGTGAGGTACCTACGGGCGAGTGTCAAGAGGTACTCGTCAACACGAGTGATCTTGACATTGTCATAAAGTGTAGAGATGGAGAAGTGCTTGCCATTAGGCTTGCGCTTATAGTTGATGCAATCGCGAAGAAGTCTCCGCTCAAACAGGTGGATTCTTTGCATCTGAGCGGAAGTGATGGCTGACCAAATAGGAAAAGCGTAGGTGAGGAGAGGACGAATAAGCCGGTTATAGCAGTGCAGCTTAACTTTGCAGTTAAGCTGGTTATGTCTTCAAAGTGCAATTTTGAGTTGAGTTTGCCTGAACCGGGTGTTACGGATGGCATAATCAACATGTATAAAGTTATGTGGAGATGAGAGGACAATACCAATATATTTCAGAGTCCTCTGTGTTTGATTTTTCATCTCCTTTTATATGAATTTCGCCAAACGGGACTTCTACCACTCTAGTGCATATTGTGTGAAGATTTCTTCTGATTTGTTATTGCCTACCCTAACTGCTTGCGACTGGTTTTGCTATGGTTGTTGTTGTTGTCGATTCTGCTATGCATATTTATTAAAAATTTGGCAAAACAAATAATACACACCCAAAAATTGAAAGTGTTATGATTCAATTTATTTAAACGAAAATTATAATATTGCTATTACTTCTCTTATTATACCTTAATTTTATTAATAATTTACACTAACTTTGTTATAGTTGTTACAAATTTTACCAAAAACGTAATAACGATTTAAACTTGCATCTTACTGGATTGATTTGCCCATATAAATAAACTTAAATATGTTTATTTTTGAATCATAACTAAATTAAGTTTAAATTAATAATAATTTTTTAACTATAAGTAAAAGCAGTAAAAGCAATTAAAGCATATTAACTACAAGTGATTACGATTGACTTGATATCTAATGTAACTCTTCTTGATATCTAATGTAACAAATGAATTCTATTTGATATTATTCAGTGCATTATTTATTTTAAACTTGTTTTTTAATTTATCAAGACATTGTATAATTTTTTTAATCTCTTGCATTTATCAAAACAAAAAAAACACTACTTTCACCACTTTGCATTCAAAGCACTTTACCTGACGTGTATAAACTTATTTTGTGAAATGTATTTTGTGTCGTCTGCACATGGTATGCCTGCATTATGTTTCGCTTACACTTTACCATCGTATACAGCCATTATTTCTTTGACAGGCTACGAGTATATAATTAAAAGTGGATTTTATTTTGACTGCTGGGAATTCTTCCTCATACAAGTTAGTTTCTGTATCTATAAGTCTTTTCATTTCTCTATTTAAATGAACAAGAAATTAGTAATTTTATATTGGTTTAGAGGTATACATTAGCCATCCATATAATATCTAGTTCTAAGTCCAAACAAGCATAACTTTTTTGAATATTGCACTGGTTCAAACTAATTTAGTATTACATAGAAGTTTGCCACTATTGCCATAAACTTCGCTTGTTATTATGTTGAAGCTATTCGAGCCAGTTCACTCAAGCACTTTTACTTTTTATAAACACGAGGTATCTTCAAAACCCCTCTTTACGCCTTTACTGGATTATTGTTTATCACTTCATCAGACTAAGCAATAATTGACCTCAGATCTGCATACCTCCCCGAGGAGCCTGTAACCATTCTGAGATTCGATAACGTGGTTTGGTAAGTCTGTCAGTTTTCGCAAATAATTGCAGGGCTTTATCCTTTATGTATTTTTTGATCGGACCAATCTTGAAGTCGCTGAAGATGTCATTCGTCCTAATGTTATGCTATGTGATAGGACACTTGCGTTTGCTACCTGTGTTATTGCCGTTAAATGGTTTTTAAAGTTAACAGATTGTTTTATAAAAGTTAATAAAAATGCATATAAAAGGCTTGATAAGTATTACTAAATAACAGTTTAGACTTGAAATAATAAAATTATAATTAATTTCAAAACATACTGCAATTAATCAGTGAAAAAACTCTTCAATTTTAATTAGAATATTATTTTATATATATTATTTGAATTTTTCATATACCATACTTTTCAAACTCTTGCAGGCGATGCACGTGGTCGTATATTTTCATGGAGTGTTACTGAACAGCCCGGTCGTGGTGTTGCAGATCATTGGCTCAAAGATGAAGGTGCTGATCAATGTGTTAAATGTCATGTCAAGTAAGTATGCTACATTTCTTTGCAACAACTAGAATGGTGTACATACTTACTATTTATTTTATCTACAGATTCAACTTATATGAGCGCAAGCATCATTGCCGTAATTGTGGTCAAGTATTTTGTAATAAATGCAGTCGTTTCGAATCAGAAATTTCGCGTTTACGTATACTTAAGCCCGTACGTGTATGTCAAGCTTGCTACAGTCAATTGCGTACAAATTCTGTGGATCATTAAATCATAGTTAATGGTAAATTCCAAACATGAAACGCATCAAAGATTAAACGAATAAAAGTAAAAGTAAATTAAAACTCGTACATGATAAACTTATTATCCTGTTCCTTAACTTCTTCATGGAGCTTAAATCTGTTTATAAAAAACCAATTAACTTAATTTATATTATATACAATTTCTACAAATATCTTTATATAAATAATAAGATATAAGTTATTTATTTAACTAACTATCAATTTCAACTAAAAAATGTTAACCATTATAATTACAAAGGCAAAGGCTGTTAAAAAATATTTTATAAGTTTTTATGAAATTTTTTATATAAATATAAATTTTTATAAATGTTTTGCAAATTATGTGTTAATATATTAATTTATCATTTTTACTTATATAATTTATTTATTTATTTACATAAACACTCATTGTTCGTTTTTTTATATTATTTACTTATTTTATTTATTATAGCAGTTTGTTAAAAGTTAATATTAATTAAAAATTAATGTGATTATAGCTACAATGTTTATTTTGATTATATGTATATATTTTACTAATAGTTACATTTTTAATGTATGTAAGTTTTAATTTTCAGTTTCAATTTATTAGTGAATTTTTATCTGTGAATTTAATTTTTTTTGCTTTAAATTATAGTTGTTGCATACTTATTAAAAAAATTTCTCTTTAAATATAAATGCGTCAGTTCGGCTTATATATGTATCACAATATATTCTGCTCTCTGGTCTTCATAAACTGTGTAATCCTACAGTCATTTAACCAAATCTAAATACAAGACAAATTAGTTTTAATAAATTAATTTCAAATAATTTTGATAGTTATTTTTATTTGTTATATTATTATTTAGTTTAGTTTAATTTTTTAGTCAAATTTTATGTCTTATATTTTTGATAATTATTTAATATGTATAGGTAAAATTTATTTGCTAAAATACAAAAACAAAGTATATGCAATAAATAACTTAGTGAATTAAAACATGTGTTTTTTTTTTTGTTTTAATGTATTAAATTTTATGTGTATTAATTGTAACTAAATATTTTTCTGTGTGTATTATTTCTTTAAAGGTTATTTTGTTCCATTTTTATGTAAATATTTTAATTACAAGCCAGTATTAATAGATATGTACTGTAATTCTATTATTTTAAGCAGTTTATATATTAATTTAAATATAATACTTTTTATGTAACTTGTTATTTGAAAAAAAACAAAATAAACTTATATTTGTATATTCATATAAAAATATCTTTATTTGTATAGAGATAAAATACAAAGAAAATGACAATATTATAATGAGCGAATAAATAAATTGAAATAATTTATATAAAATTATGTATATGCAGTTTATTGTTTTCACAAAAATAATTTATTGTATAACCCAACAATATACTTTGTATAAGTGTGTATTAAAATTGAATACGATTTAATGTGAATTGAGAGTAAAATATTCGTTTGTAGTTGTCATTTTGTTTTTACTCGGTTAGTTTTAACATTTTTGCAATGTTAAAATTGATCGAACATATATATAAAAAATAATACGGGAATAATTCGAATCCTTCCATAATAATGAAACTCATAGCGGCAAATAATAAAAACTAAAATTCTAAAAACAAAATTTAAAAAAAGCAAACACCATAAATTATAAGGAAGTTATAAAAATAATAATTATAGAAATTATTATGTAAAAATATGTTTTGGTTTAATATAATAAAAAAATTACAATAGTTTATATGTAGTGATATAAGAAAAAGTTTGGTGGTTTTAACTGGGGATTATAAAACTATAGAAATTAAAAGATTACTATGTTCAAAAATATATTTAAAAATTATATATATTAGAATAATAAAAACTATAAATATACTATAAAATAAATTACCAACGAAATAATAATACCAAAGGGACTCTAAAGAATATGTTAGCTATAATTTGAAAAGAATAAAAAATGAATAAATGTTAAAGAAAACCTTCTACCGTTCTATATTAAAAATTACATATAATTTTTTTAATTTTTTTTATAAAAGTATTTTAAACGATGTCGGTTTCTTGAAGTTCAAAATTTACTGTTCTTTTTTGTAGAGAAAATTGAAAGAAGTTAGATTATTCATTAAGTTTAGAAAAAAAGTTTTTGTAGATCTTTTTTCAAAATATACTATGAATTCTAAAGTTTTAGTGATAGGCTTCTAAATATTTTCTTAATACCGATTTATATTCTCTTATAATTGTAAAAATTCAAACTGTTGAATATAATTTTATTTTTTTAATAATTAAGTAATATATTTATACAAATATATGTTTTTACTAAAACGATATGTTGCTTATGGCTGCACTATTTGGAAGTTAACATGTTTTCCATAGTTGTAAATCGTAAAATATATATCCCACGTATTATTTTTCTACTTAGAAACTACGAATATTTAATTTTAAAGTAAAACAAATGTTTGTTTCTACAACAAAGAAATATAGTTCTTAAGAAGACACATAAACCAAAGAATAATGCAAAACTACAAATGTGAATAAAACAAATTTAAGTATAATGCTGACTTCATGTTTTAACATGCAGATCCCTACCGAACCCTATGGTTCACAGAATGATAGGGTCTACGTCTTAGAGCCAATCGTCAGTTTCGACAACCAAGTGCGATTTCCGCTTTCAATTAGTATGCATTGTTTTAAGACATTTTCCTAAAATATTTGGATTTTTCTTTTTATTTTTATATTGTTTTGTTTCGACTTAATTAGTTAAGCTAGAAAATATACGGGAAAGAATAATTGGTATATACTAGTTAAGAACATCAAAACGAATGTGATGTAGTTGTGGAATAGAGAAAAGTTTTATTATTTTCAAGATTTGCTTTTAAAATAATTAAAATGGACGGTAAGATTATTTGTCTTTATTGAAATTAGAATAAGAACTAAACAGGGTTCTAGACGCAAGTTCGAACGGAACACTTAGACCACTGAACATTTTTGTTTCGATATTAATATAATATTCAAGCTCATTTTCGATATCCGAAGCATGTAAGAAAAGCATGCTCTTATATATTTCTACATATAGGTACATACCGTATTTAAAAATTTGTAGGCAAGTATAAAAATATTTTTGGACAGCACATTAAAATATTTTAAGGTTTTGATTTCTGTTGAGGTCAAAGTTGGAAAAAGCTTAATGTATTTTTTAAGTCCATTTTGGCTGTACATCTTCTTGGTTAGGAAATACATATGTTGAAATACTTAAACAATTTAAATTTCTACTTATGTAATTGCAAAGAAATGCAATATTCTTATGTGATCTATTCTATACATCAATTCTATTCTATACACATAGAATATTTAAAACAAAACAGTCTAATGATAAAAAAAATTGAATATAGATTGGGAAATAATCTTTATACTTAACTAATAAATTATGGATAAGTAATATACTGTAACAATATTTCATTAATTTCATTAATGTCTGTTTATTAAAATTCTATTTAAATACATTAATTCATGTTAGAAAGGATTTCAAAATGAAATACATATGTGAAAGATTATGTGGAGATAATCGAAATTATTTTTTACATTTCTATTTTAAGTTAATTATTTGGTTTTAAAACACTGTTGCAAAGCTAGAGTTTAATTTTTGAACAAAAATGGGACTAATATTTCAGTAGGTTAGTTCAAGAGATAGTTTATTTCTTGAGGAAGTGTGGGGATTTATTTATACTATGATTTAATATAAACAGTAATAATGTTTCTTGAACTAAGAATTTCTAAACTAAAATTTCGATGGTATTTTATTAAAAATTATTTAGTATTTATTTTAATATTTTATTTATATAATCTTTAAAATTGCTCAATATATTCATGAAATTTATTTTAAAAAAAATTTTCATTTTGAATTTAAATGGTTTATATTTAACACATTTTTTAACAAACGTAATATAACAAAAATAAAATAATGGAAAATAAATGAAATGGTACAAATAAGATATAAAAGAATACATAAGAACAATTAGATAATAAAAATATAAAGAATTACTAATAATTATAATATATATAATATTAATTATAAACTAAAATACTAAACTACTAGAATATATTTGGTTATCCTTAAAAGAGTTGTTTTTAATAACTAATTTGATTTTAATAATAATTAATTAAAACGGTTAAGGAATAAGTAATGATTATAAAAGAAAATAATATATATATATATAATAAAACATAAACTTAAAAAAATATACACAATAAGAAAAATAATTATTGAAAGCTAAATTAATAATATTAATAATAAACTTAATTTTAAGATGTGAATAATATTATTGAATCAAAAAAATTAATATTTAATATTATAATTATATAAATATAATTATAATTATATACATACATATATAGAGCAGATATATGCATATACGTACATATTATTTACGTATATGCATTTATATATATATATATATATATATATATATATATATATATATATATATATATATTAATATATATATATATATATATATTATATATATATATATATATATATATATATATATATATATATACATATATATAAATATATAAAATATTTATGCATAAACATATTTGCTATATATATACGTATATGTATATGTATATTATATATATATTTTATATAAACAATATATAATACAAAAAAAATTTAAATAAATAAAATAAAATAAAAAAATTTTAAAATTAATAGAAAAAATTTAATAAATGTTTTTATTAAAAATGACCAAAAAAATTAAAAATAAACATTTGTTTAAAAAAATTGATATTTAAAAAACTATAACAAAAGCATACATAAAATATAATAATGTTAAAAACAAAATTTAATTAATAAAATTAAGAAAAAATGTTGCACAGAAATTAAATGATTACAAATGTTAGTGTTCAAATAATTATTGAATAGTTTGACAAGTGAGGGGAAAGTGAAAATAATAAAAAACAGGAATGGTAAAATTAAACACATATAGTATAATGTAAATTATATGCAAAGT